AAGTCAGAGATAACGAACTCATTTACTGGCTGGCATTTAACTTGCTTATGTTTTCTTGGACAAAAATTTCCAACATGTCTTTTTCAAACACCAATAGTTGATCTGTCTGCAAAGTCAGCACTCCTATTTTTCCTAATTTGTAATTTATTTCTAAATGGCAGAAAAACATTGGGTATTTTGCTGAAATGTTTAAATTTGGGAAAGCAATGTTCATCAGAGTCAAATTAATTAGAAACAAAAAAGATAAAAAACTGCTGTCAGTTACTATACTTGTATATTTTTAGAAAGATAACTGACAACAGCTTTACAAAAGGGAACAGCCTGAAGTTCCAAAGCTACATCAATTAAACCAATATTGCAATAGAATGACTGCAGTAAACCATTACCTATTTAATCTTTCAAACACATTGTGATAGATAGTGCATCACAAAATATATAAGTAATTTGATTTAGAAAAATATATTTGTTTATGCTGTGGTAGTACAACACAAGCTTATTGTGTTGTATAAGAAAAATATTAAGCTATTAAAGAGTGTTCAAAGGATGGCAACAAAGATAGTGAAGGGCTTTGAGAGGAAGCCGTGTGAGGAGGGGCTGAGGGTGCTTGGTTTGTACAGCCTGGAGAAGAGGAGACCGAGGGGAGACCTCATTGCAGTTACAACTTCCTTGTGAGGGGAAGAGGAGGGGCAGGCACTGATCTCTTCTCTCTAGTGATCAGTGACAGGACCGAGGGAATGGCCTAAAGCTGTGCTGGAGATGTTTAGGTTGTATGTTAGAAAAAGGTTCTTCCCCCAGGGGGTGGTTGGGCACTGGAACAGGCTCCTCAGGGCAGTGGTCACAGCATCAAGCCTGACAGAGTTCAAGAAGCATTTGGATGATACTCTTGGGTACATGGTGTGACTCTTGGGGATGGTCCTGTGCAGGGTTAAGGGTTGGACTAAATGATCCTCATGGCTCCCTTCCAACTCAGCATATTCCATGATTCTATGAAACTAGATGTAGAATTCAATAAAACTAATATTTATTTCTTATTGTTTTCTACAATCAACATGTTAAGACAAAATGCATAGTACCATTAAACTTCTATAAACCATGAAAAGCACAAAAGGAGCAACGGAACCTATATAACATATCATAGCACAATATGCATGTGAAAGATTTCAAAACACACTTTAACTGATGTATAGGAAGATTAGTATTTTCTACAGAGACTAGTTGGGGAATGGATAGTTTTATAGTGTTTTTTGCAAACATTAGTGGTTCTGTTTTTCAGTCAGTTCCAAGAAGTAATGATCTGCCAATGGGGCAATCAAATTCTGCCTATTTTCGGAGACAAAAATCTCCTTTTGACTTCATGATTTGTTGACAAGAGCTCAGTGTTCTGCAAGACACAACTCAAACCTACTTTTGATATGAAAATATGAATTTGTGGTTGCATAAGAATGTAAGACATTATACAGGAGGCTGAATGCTCCTTTTCATAAATTGTATTGCACCTCACAAAACCGTACTAAGTACAGGATCAGAATGCCATACAGTATTATTCTGATCATGGCTCTAGGATACTTTCACTTTTCAAAGTAAAATCAGCAGTGCTTCATTTTCTTACCAAATGGTTATTTAGAAATGGACGACTTTATGTAAACTTTTGTTGCAAATCAACAACAAATGTCCCTGCAAAATCAGACTAGTGATCACCAAGCTCAAGAGCCTTAACTGGACGGTTAGTTCCAAAAGATTGCTTCCCTTTGGCTTGCTCAGTAAATTGGAAGATGTAACGTGGCAGAAAATACAATCCTGTTATTCTGTCATGTGCTTAAATGTCTCTCAAATAGTCTCTAATTTGTATTTATATACAGTTTGTAACTTAAGAGCCCTGAAGTTTTTACTGAGAAGGTCACATCCTCTGTCTGCCATCAGCTCAGGAAGCGCTGTTGAAACTTATAGTTTAGCTCCCTGACCACAGAGCAAGTATTTTTCTGTGTTGGTACTGTTGATTCGTAGTCCCATATGGAAGTGTGAATCTATCTTCACATGCTGGGTTAGCTGGGTGTCTGGATCCACATAAGTCTGTTATAAGGGCTCCCCCCCTTTTTACCTTCCACACTTTATACCTCAACATGTCTGAAAAGTGTCATTGTTCAAATGTGTATAAGCTTCAAACACACCTTGTGCTATTTAAAGAGATTCTGTTCAGAAGCAACTTAGTTTGCATATCAAAGATAAATTTCACTTATCCTGAAGTTCAACATATTTAACAAAAACATGTCAACAACATTTAAAAAATATTCCTTTCAGCCAGTTGCATATTATAGAATCATAGAATCATTTGGGTTGGAAGGGACCTTAATGATCATCTCGTTCCAACCCCTCTGCCATGGGCAGGAACACCTTTCACTAGACCAGGTTGCTCAGAGCTTTATCCAAGCTGTGTTCAACCTGGCCTTGAAAACATCCAGGCATGGGGCATCCACAACTTCTCCGGGAAACCCATTCCAGTGGCTCACCACTATCACAGTAAAGTATTATTATTGTGAACTGCATTGGATTGAATATAAATACATATTATAAATAAGTGTTTACTCTTCAATTTAAATATTTTACTGTTTTTTAAATAAAGATGTTTTTGTCCTGTTTAGAAATTGCTTAGTATAGTGTAATTAATATTTTTAAGACTGTTTCTTTTGCTACTCTCCTTCCTGTGATAGTCAGACAGTGAGAAAATGGCCAGAGAGATGAGGTGGAAGTAATAGGGTACAGTAATCGGAAGTCATTAGATGAGGATTGTCTGATTAGAGAGATCAGCAGAGACTGAACTTCAGTTTTCTGAGGAAGGATCTTCTCCTTTCATTTCCTGCAGTTACATGGTGCAAAGAAAGCAAAGATTACAATTTGCCCACTCAATCATATACCATGAGTTATTTTTAACCTACCATACAAATGGCACCTCTCATTTTTAGTCTTGATGGTCAGCTTTTTAGATAATGGAAACTAGTATAGCTACTTATTAGTGTAGCAAATACATTTCCTGATGGTCTACACAAGCAAAAAAAATGGTAATTTTCCCATGATCTCAGTGTGGGTAAAATTTTAGAACCTCAGTTTGACAAGAGAGAATAACAAACAAAATAAGGGAAGGAAGGACAGTGATAGATAAGGGGATGATCACAGGCCACACATTCTTATATATGTCTTGTTTCTCATTTTTTGTTTATTTGGTTTCTATTTTTATTAGTCTGTTGTTTATACTTTCTAAAATAGTGTTCCTAAATATACAGGCACTACTTCCTTCAAACTTTACCAGGAAGCCTGACAGGAGGTTCATGAGAGGAGCAAAGAAGACATGCAAAGTTGTCTTATTTTAACATTGCTTATCATTTAGTTCCTTCCTTAATTTCAGATGACAATGCGTTTCTGCAATTCATACAACTCCAAATCTAAGTGTTGTGCTGGAGTCTTAACTTCTGAGATGCTTTCCATTTTGACAGCAGTTGGAAGTGCACAGCATGGACCAGATCCTTGGAAATGGTTTCTGGTTATTTTCTAGTTTGTTTTGCCAGAAGAATGCATCTTTATTCAGGAAAGATTATTCAGAAACATTTTACTGAATTAAATACATTAGTTGATTTATATGAGTACACTTTAAAAAGCTTTATGTTTGCAATTCATATTTATTCGAGCCAAGAGCTCCCGGACATATGGGAAAGCAAGAACCTATTGGATGGTCCTTTGGCTTCAGCACCATGACAAGTGCTCAGCTCTACCAGGACACATCATGTGAACCAAATAAGCAAGACCATTGACCAGCAACTCTTCCTGACACTTACTAGTTAAAAGTAATCTTACATTTGGGCTACAGATCATCTCCATCTATTAAGTCCCACCTCACAAAGTTCATTTTCGAGAACTGCAGGGCACATCAGATAACAGTGCAATTCCTTACCAATAATTTTACCTTATAACAGAATTAATTATTTTTTCAACATTACTAGATGTATGACAAGGGATAACTTTCAGTGTCCAATTTTCACTAAGCCTGGACATTCAAGGTCCAGACTTAGCAATGTAATTTATAACTTGTCCACAAATTCAAATATCATAACAGTTGTAGAAATTCAACCCTCTACAAGTTTTTGACTCATTTCAGAAATTTGAAATATATTCCTAAACTCTGTATGTTCTTAAAACTGGCAGTGGGAGTGCAATGAAACAAGGATGCAAGGAAGCAGGATGTAACCAGGATCACCCAGTCAGCATTTGATTTCCATGTAGCAACACATAGGTTGCATATTATCAGGATTAGGTTTAATGCCCAAGGAGTCTTACACAAGAATTTAAAATAAGAGAATGGTATTTCTGCTGATCTAATTTAACTGAGACAGAAGGATCCCAATTTCTGAAAAATCTATACAATTTCTATCTTTGCATAAAAAATATGTTCACAATATTGATTATGTGTTCCACTTACTGATCTTCTCTGTAGTACTATTTTACTCAGTTATAAGCATCATTAGAGAGCTAAAATACACTTACTGAACAGGATCAACATAGACAAGCTGAATTGAACTAAGATTTGTTAAGTAATTCCATCTCACATCAAACTAATACGTATTTTGATATATTACGTATTATTTCATAAAACAAAACCCTGCAAAACGAAAAAACAAAGCCTCCACAGATTTAGCCTAAAACCCTAAAAACATTTATTATTTTGCCTAAGAATTTCTATAAAAGCTTATCTAATTAAAAAAAAAAAATCATAAAATGAAAAAGTCTTTGAATTCTTTGTATAATTTTCCAGAATATGCTTTCAAATATCAGTGTGTTCCTCCAGGAAGAAACTAAATTTTAGAGCAGCATTGAATTTCATCAGCGAAAATATCTATTGTATGGTTAGTATGAGAACTGTTAGCAATTGAATTTAAATACTTATTTTTAACCATAAAGGCTTTACTGGAATCCAGACCAAAAGAGTGAATACTGTAAACTGAATTTCTTACCTCTGATGGATGTCCAGCTCTTATAAAAGTACAGAGGGGATCAAAAGCTCCTGTTCCACAAGCCAGAAGATGCGTTCTGTTATATCGGTGAAGGACACGGACATAATTTGCACATTCATCCTAGATTACATAAGAAATAAACATAGGAAAATATTAGCTTTTTAATTTTACTTTTTTTAATATCTTATGTGCTCTTAGATGATGTTCTCATATTGAATCTTTCTATTCTGTTTCACTTCACGTTAGTAACTCTGGGTCACCAGTTTCACAGATGGACATTTTTACACGAAAAAAAGCAAGTTTAGAATGCTGATTTATCATAATTTACTTTAGATGTTTAACCAGTTATGAGCTACAAAGTTATAAAACACACTTTTGTGCTTCTTTAATCTCAGAGATATTCTGCAAATCTAAATATTTGTTTTACTAAGTATTATTAGATATACTAAATATTAGAGTCAGAACATAAGACGTGAATAGTAAGCAAATGGCTTCTCTCTCAAGTTAAATAAACTTTATCTCAGGAAAAATATCATTTTTTTCTTACTTTTTTTTTATAAGGTCACTGCAATATTAATTTCTTGCATAATTAATTGCTAATCAATATTTTTTTATATTGTATGGCATCATACTTTATCTGTTCCCAGTGTTAAACTCTCCTTTGAAGAAGAAATATTCATTTCCCACAGGACAGTACTCTGGGACTCATTAGTGTATTTGCAGCTTCATAAATATTACAATTAAAACATTTTCAAACATCCCTTTGAGATGTGGGGTCATTATTTTTCCTGTACTAAACTAGAAACAGAGACAGTGAGATAAAAGTATCCATTGATTTTGGGACTCCTGGGACTTGGTTTTACAGAGTTTTACAGAGTTTTACATTTTGCAACTGTTTTTATATTTGAAGAAAAATCCTACTCATTTCCATTCATTGTTCAACATTTCTGCAACTCAGATCCTAGGTTTTAAGACAGTCACATAAAGTTTAAGATTATTATAATTAAATTAATCTTAGATAACTTTAGCTGCTCTAGAGTTTAGACATGTAATTTATGTTATTCTCCTAGGCCTTTTCAGTGAAGATGGCCAAATATCTCCAAAAGGCAATTAGTACAATCCTAAAATCAATGCGTAAAACAGAGTGGAAGAATTTCCTTTTTGAAAATTTGCTGTTCTTCGCTGATGAGTATTGTAGTTTTCAGACTGCTGTATTTGTATGAGAACAATCCTGGATCTTATTAACCATCTGCAAGAACAGAGAACATGAGTCTGCAGTGGGCTCCTGGGCAGAATTCAACACTTGCAAATTCACATTAGGTTCAAAACTAAGAAACCATCTTTCTTCTTTCTTCAAATGGTTATGTCATTCAGTTCAAGTCTTCCAAGTTCTCCAGCAAAAAAATAAGGAAAAAAAAATCTCAGTTGCTACATGATTCTCCTTAATATTCACTGTGAAGATATATCATGCTAATTGAATGAAGTAGGTAACTTACACAGACAGGTAACCTGTTGTGTAATTAAATATTATGCATATACAAATCAGTCTTGCAATACCTTATTTTTGGACTTTCTTGATTTGCAACTAATTTGTTCCTTTTTTAAAAGTGAATAAATAAATAAATACATTCAGACAAATAGAGAAGAATGGGTTGAAATCAGTAAGATGTGATCCTCTATACACGGATCAGTACTCAGCAACAGAGCATGTGCATTTCACAATATTTACTGACTGCTGGTAGCAAAATGGTATTCCATAGGAATTTTGTGAAACCTTATAATTTTTAAATGATGCTTTACTGGGCACTGATGCTGTACCTCATTCTCCCTCTCCTCCAAGTATGACCTTTCTGACTTATTCCCTCTGTTCGCTCTCAGTGGTTCTTTACTCTATAATTTCCTTTTTTATCCATATATGCCTGCACCTCTTCGTCATTGTGCCAAAATCACTGTATTGATTTAGGATTTTTTTTTTTTAAATGGTCAAAACCTACACATTTTTTCTCTTGTGTGCATTTGTAGAAACGCTGGAAAAATTCTGCAGAAAAAAACAGAATGAGGAAGATACCAAATATAGAAAAAAAGTAATTCCAAATGTCTAGATTGATCATTTATAAGCACATGACAAAAGGTGCTGTTCTGGCAAGTGTCAGGCAGCTAGGCATTGCTGCTGACCCTACTTATAATACACTGTCCACACAGCAAGGAAGAGATGCATCATCCAAGGAAACATTAAAATAAGACTTCTTTCTACTATATTAATTAATTAAATGCTGGGTATGTCTTCAGGATGCTCCATATTAATAGATCTGTGGAATTTTTTTCATCTGAAACTTCTCCATGTGGAGGAGTTAATCATCTCTACAGAACTGGATTTCTTTTTCTGAATGATTTCCAATTCTGATAAAGTAATTGAAAGAATGGAAAGCTCTTACACCACAGGCTAACAGGTGTGTTTCCTGGAACACTGGATGACAGCTGAAGGATTTCTTTCCTTGGCTTCACACGAATCAAAAAAGCATGGCCAGGTTTTAAGATTATGCACGTTGTTAAGATAAGGCTTTTTTAACTGTCCTATTAAGTCCATTAAAAGCTCTGAAAGTGTGTTTATTACTACAGTACTTGAAGTTTTACTGCTACAACATGAGCTGATAATTTTAAAGGTTGCAAAAATTGTAAAACTGGCCTGTTCTGTTGTATAGAAAGAGACAGCAGAGCACGCATGAAGTATTTTAATGCTGAGAAGCTGATTACAATATTATCAATTCTACGTAATATTAATTTTACCTTGAGTAACAGATCTTTTACAGAGGAAAATAAAAAGAGAAACAGAATGGAAATAAGAAAAAAGTTTGAAATAACACTGATGAGTAATATTTTTATGAGAGCTTACAGTGTAAAAATTAACATTCAGAACTTAGAACTAGCAAAGAGTTGATGTAAAGATATTATGCTATAAGTTAATATTGGTTTATGGTTACAACAAAATGAAGGTGAGAAGAAAATTAGTAGGAAAGTTTTTGATTCAAATTTAGATTCCTTTTAGGTTGAGCAATCTATCTTACTGAATACTGAGCATGTTGATGGAAAATGCCAAGGTTTCCCTGATATTAATTAGCCTTACTCATTCATACAGTTCATACATAATTAGGTCTTATGGGAGGATCAGAATATCATTTGGAATTACAATATTTCGAGTTTTTAAAATTTTAACATATTTTTCTTAACAATTCCACTTCTGGAATCTTTTAATTCTTCTAAAGATCTGGGTTTTCTATAAAAGTAATAGTTATACCAAACTTTCACAGTGCAGAGAGATGTGGGAAATATAAGAAGTTCTTTAAATGACCATTTTCACTGCAAGGCAAATTTGAAGACTTATAGTAACAAACTGAACTACAAAACTTTGGAGTTTTAGGGAAACTCATGACTCTGAGGGGGATAGCTTTACATTGAAACAACAGTACCTATTTCTGCATTAATTTAACCAAAAGAATATTGTCAAAGTATCAGAAAATATATCCCGTCATGTAGGGGTAAAAGAAAGATGACAGAGCTCTAACTAATTACAGTTTATTCTGAGAGGTGGTATTAAATAAAGCTCAAATAATCAGGGTTTCAGATTCATTTAATATGACCATAAGGTTTGGGTAATGTAGAAAACCACTCTTTTCAATCAAAATCACCTAAAATTGTCAAGGGCACAGAATTATACAGAAAAAAATGCAACGAACTTTTAAGAATCTTCAAAAAGGGTCAGTTCTAGGCCAGGTGAGTGAAAGGACTTGGAATTTTATTATTATTATTATTATTATTATTATTATTATTATTATTATTATTATTACTACTACTACTACTTTCCAATCTTTTTCACTAATTTCTTTAATATGGACAGTTCTCATGCTTGTATTGCAGCAGAAATCTTTAGAGTTTCCCAATCTTACTGGGAATATATTGTTATCACCAGGGTTGCTGTTTGTTGTGTTTGTGGGAAAAGCTTGTATGTGCCCTTCCATGTCTTACATTCCTGTCGCTGTTGCTGTAAAACTATCATCATTTTCAAATCCTCTGGTACAGTGTGAGCTCTCTCAGCTGTGGGATTTATTAGGTGTTGTACTTGTGGTGTGTTTATGAGGTACAGATAATGAACTTGGTGCACTGTAAAATTAAAGAGAGCTCCCATCCAGAAGAACTTTCATCCTGTGCTGCCAACGATATCAGCTGCTATATGTCAATGAGCTTTCAGGTCTTTTCCCACGAACTCATTACAGTCAAGGCACCGAATCACAAGAATAAAACAGTTCTGAGGCTCATTAAAATGGAATATTTTTATTAATATACCATGAAACTTATAAAGCAAAATAAATTAGAGTGCATTCTATAATTACTAATAATTTAACTGCTTTTCTGAAAGCATTCTAGAGAATACGAACTTTAAGCATAAACTGGAATGTGAAAATGGAGAAGGTATCCTACAAGTATGAAAAGAAAGAGAAATATAAATGGAAAAGGAGAATTATTAATGTACCTTCTTTGAGAGCCCAAGGAGAAGAATTAGAAGAAAGTTCAGATGATCAAAAGTGTTCACTGTGTGTTTATGAGCTGGTTTGAAGAGCAATTAAACTAATAAATTTAGTGTGTTAAGAGTAGTTAGATGTTTTTAACCTACAACACTTAGAATTATATCTATGCTTTAATCTCTCTGAAGTTAAGGGTGCCTGAATCCTGTTTTGGACTAGCCACTGGTATAATTAAAGTATACTTTATTCGTAATTAGTGATACTTACAGCATCTCTTCCTTTAATTATGCATTCTTCTGCCTGCTGAGGTGTACTAGGCCAATGGATCTGAGAGGAAAAAGAAGAAAATCATTCAATTGGCAGTCTGATCATGTCAATCCAGCTCTTCCACTATTCTATCTATGTGAAAGATTTGCAGAACAGAAGTATAAAATCATAGAACAGTCCCAGTTGGAAGGGACCTCAAAAAATTGTCTGGTCCAGTCTCTTGTGGGAAAGGGAGCCTAAATGAAATTATCTAGCACTCTGTTTTACATATCTTTTAAACCTCCAGTAACAGAAGCTCCACCATGTCCCTGGGGTGGGTTGTTTCAGTGACTGAATGTTTTCACAATAAAAAGTTTATTATCTGTTGGTATAACTTGTATCCATTGCCTCTTGTCTTCTCCATGAGGATCCTTTTGAAAGGAGAGTCTCTGTCCTCTCTGAGATGCTGTTTAAATACTTAAGTACTAGAATACTCTGAGGAGTTCCCCCTCAGCCTCGACTTCCCCACAGAGAAAAGACCTTCAGTCTTTCCTTTGTTGAAACATAACTGTTTTGATTAGGATGGTTCAGGAAACTTAGTACCAGTCAACAGAATTTAAAGGAAGTTAATGTATGGAACATTTAATATAAATTCAGCTTAGTTGTCAGTGATTTTCAACATAGAATATTAATTTTGAACTACTGATTTCCTGCTTTAAGTGACACTTAGGAAAGAAAAGGTTTAAAGTGAAGTTAATGAGGGTCAGCAATTAACCCCATCGGGAGTAGCATCAACTCTTCACAGTCGCAATCACTAGAAGTGAAGCCAAATTACACAAGTGAGATTTTCTTCAGCTACCTACTATATAACGTTTATGTTTCATTCCAGATGCATGATCTGTTTGGTTGAAAACAATATTAAACAATGACTGAGCAGACTGGAATGGTTACTTAATTTCTTAGAACATTTAAAAGTGAAAACAAAAACATGTGCCCATCAGTGATATCAGGCTTGGCTGAAACCAAGTAAATATTAAAAAATTGATGTCATCATTAAGACATTTTTGTCAATAATCCAATCAAAAATATTTTTCTGTATGGAAAACATTTTAAAATTAAGTTATTCTGCTGGGCTTTTTTTCTTCCTTTTTTTTTTTTTTTTCTGTAATTGAATTGGGTTTCTTGAAATAATTTAATCTGAGAAAATCTGGGGATAAATTATAAGAAAAGTAAATTGTAAGACAAGCAGGGATAAATTATAAATCCTAGATGCCTAGGACTTGAAAATAGAAGGTCGGCTATATGTTATTCTTGCCAATTTCAACAACCTGTCAGCGTTTAGGTCTCACATCACCTAAATCCTACAAGGAATCTAAAGTTAATCAGAATACTTGTTTTCAGTCAGATGGTCTTATAATCATATTTGTATGATCAGAAGTAACTCTCATCTAGTCTCTGCATAGTTGCTCTGTAGTATGGGGAGGTACCTGAACTCTACTGAACTTCCATGAGGACCCTCATCCAATCACCCTGGCCAGCTGATTTCTGGTCCATTCAGTGCAAAACTGAGTCCACAGCCATTTACTTTACTCACTCGTCAGGAACTGAATAGACAACAGCTTGTCCTTAACCCAAAAACCTAGAAGTTAGGAGATCTCGAGGATCTCTCAAGCCTAAAAGTGTGAAGTCACAGCTTTCACTTCACAAAAACTTGTTCTAACTAGCAAACTAAAATGGGGGCTTTTGCTCAGGTGTGGCTGCTGGGAACAGAGAAACCACAGAGGGAATAAAACACTTGACTCTGTAACCTGATATTAAATACAGTGTGTATAGGTGATTATTTTTTTATTTGGAGACTGAGTCCCAGTGCTATTGAAAATACTTTGTATGCACATTTTCCACTTAAGACACACTGAATTAAATGCATACACAGAATTAAGAGAAAAAAGCCAAAGAAGTAGCCCAGTGCTCTTGATTTGTCTGGATTATTGAAAAGCAGCTGCAGTGCGAGCAATGTGAATTGGGTCCTTGGCACAGAATAATAGAATAAATGATAATTATAGAATGGTTTGAGGTAGAAGGGAACCTTAGAGACCAAGTAGTGTAACCACCTGCTATAGTCAGGGACATCTTCCACTAGATCATGTTACTCAAAGCTCCATTCAGCCTGACCTTGAACACTTCCAGGGATGGGGCATTCACAACCTCTATGAGCAACCTGTTCAGTGTCTCACCACTCTCATAGTTAAGAATTTCTTCCTTATACCTAATCTAAATCTACACTCAGTTTAAAACATTTGTCTCTTGTCCTGTCACTGCAGGCCCTGATTAAGCTCCCTTTACAAATTGAAAGGACAGCATAAGGTCTTCCTAGAGCTTTCTCTTCTTCGGGTTTAAAAACCTTTATTCTTTCAGAGATGTTCCAGCCCTCTGACTATTTTTGTGTCCCTCCTCTGGACCTTCTCTAATAGATTCACACCTTTCTTGCACTGGGAAACTCGGAGTTGGACACTCTACTCCAGGTGGGGTCTCAAAAAGGAGTAGTAGAGAGGCAGAATCAGAGGTAGTGCAGCAGTGTAGGAATTTGTCTTAAATGTTCATAGCAAATTATCTACTTCTAAAGGAACTCCATATTAGTTACCTTCAGTACATGGGTCTTAATTATGACTTTAAGGAGTCTCCTGAAGAAGCTTTTCTATCCAGAAATTATTTTTTAAGACTCATAACTCTTATGAGTCTTAACATAAATATGCATTAAGAGTTTAATCTCTTCCAGAGTATTTTAGAATTGAGACTAAAAAAAATCTCTGCATGTCAGATTTTGCTATTATATCAATTTTCAAATTGGCATAACACAGGATGTGTTTGCACTGCATGAAAATTCAGATATTAATCAGCTGCAACTGTAACCTTTAACCTGCTCTGTATTACTTTGTCTGATATTTATGTTTTAGAGTTATGACAACTACCAGATTTAATTTTGAATTAATTCTGTGCCAGGATTACAATTTTTGACAAGCTGTCAATAACTATTTCTGGGAAATCTCCCTGGGTATATAGACTGGCATAGCACCACGCTACCATACATTTCACTGCAAGTTTCACATAACTATTGGACATAATTTTCCAAAATTTTTCACCCCTTCAGGTGAATTAATTTTTTAAACTGCTTATTTAGTGATGTTTTCTCATCTTACACCATAGTATTATCATCCTTGAGACCTGGATGATATAATTTTAATACCATATTTAAAAGACAGGAAAAAGGTACCTTTAAATATATTCCTCATGAGAAAAAAATGGAATTATATGTTAGTATAGCTATGGGGAAAACTTTAATTGGAACTGGAATGTTAATTAGCATCTCCAAACAGCTTCTCTATTCAGACACTAGCCTTAAAAAGCAGGATGGCATCTCCAATGAAAACTAATTTAGAGAAATATGTGACTTTTATAGCACTTCAGGTCAAAATAGACTACTGTGTGATCTACTCTGAACTCTAGCATATGACAGAACAATTAAGCAATTCAACCATCCTGTCCCTGATTTAAGTCAATAAATAGTGCTTAATTAACAGATAACTTGTGTTTTGCTAAAGCCCAAATTCTGTAAAAATACCTGGTGATGACTGGATTTATCAACAAATACACAGACACCTTCTCTCTTGGGAGGTAATTCCAAGGGATATTCAAATTTACCACTAAATTTTGAGCCTCTTATTTCAGTTTGAGTTTATGCACATTCCTACACAGTATTTAAAGGAGGTATCAGCAAGCCCTCCTCTTGCAGACTTGTTCTGTGTTCAGTCAGCTCCGGAGTGGAAGTAGATATTCACCATAGGCAGGATCTGTGATGAGGGCTCTATGGTTTATTGCAGCAGAGACATAAGTCCTGATCTAGAGTTGTCTCATAGTAGATGAAAACAGCACACTGAAATCTGCCTACACAAGCCCATTTACAAAAGTAAGAGGGTTTCTTTTCAGAGCGAGATCTTCATAAGGCCCTTGAAGTAGAAGCTAGAAAGAAAGACTATCTGTAAGGAAATTTTAGGCAAATAAGAAGAGCAGTTTATTTTCATTCCAAGTGACGAAAAGTAGGAACAAAGGTCCCCCTTCTCTATGAGCTGTTAGACCAGTGGTGATGAGCTGCTGGCACTCGTTCAATTTTGCTGTTCAACAAAGATCCTCTCTGGCACCAATTACAATGAATTGAAATGCTTTTAAAAACAAATTTGGCACCAGAGAAAGTTCTCTATCAGTCTGTTAGATCACTACAAGCTTTGGATCAAATCCCAAATATGTGTAAGGGTTGATTCCAAAGGTGGTGTCAAAGAGAATGAGCTCTTAGGGAAAGCAAAGGTTACATGGAGTGTGCCTACAAAGCTTTGACTTTACACAAGGTTTCAAGTGCTTATATGGCTCTAATTCTCTGTAAACACTGATATTCACATTTTATATTCTCCTTCATTCTTGCTACTGTCAGTGTTAGGGCACTCTTCATACAGAAACCAGGGTGTCTATGTAACTGTTTCCAAAACTTATGGTAATATGTGTTTAATACTCTAATTAAGCAAATTATACATCCTTCATCTATTAAATTAAAGGAGAGATACAAAGAGTAAACAAAAAGCAAGTAGTCAAAAGAAACATAATTTGACAATTAGAGAAGTGAGAGCCTGTCTTTATCCAAGAAGACATGGAAGGTCTGTGCCACAGTTGAGAGCTCAACCTGAATGTCTGGATTTTCCCACCAGTGCAAGAATAACAGTGGTAGTATTCTTCCTTGAAAGTTTTTTTTCCATTTTTTAGGTATCTTTTCTTCAGTGAATATGAAAAGCCGTCAGGATAAAATATACCTAAAATAATTTGGTAGGTACATATGTAAACAGTTAATAGCTTACATGAAAAAGCTACAACCTATGCTTCAGAGTGCTGCCTTGTATTGGAAACCTGAGGAGAACTGAACCTTAAAAAAACATGTAACCTATTAAATGCAGATTTATAGGATGCATACCTCATATGCATCAGAAATTTTTTTGGAATTGTTGGATTACTTTGGCAGTCAACAGGTCTCATTGCAAAAGCATTTTATGTCCATTCAGCATTTTGTTGTTTTTCTTTGGTATAACTTCTACTATGCTGGCTAGAATTGAATTATTTTGTTGTTTTATAGCAGAAGGTATAAATCTCTAATTGGGAATGGATTTCATTTTGGCTTTTAGAAAGCATACTCATATTCCAAGTTGTGGAGAAAGGGATGGTCAATGAATTAAAAGACATTAAATGTTTTCTAGAACACAGAAGATGAAGATATATATGAATCTGTCCCAAAACTGAAAACTTTATGAAACATCTCTTTTGCAGCTAGTGACTCATCCTGACTACCAGAGAGAATAAAACACAGGAACTTGCCTGCACTCATATACTTTCACTGGATTATAACTGCTGTTTTAGATTAATTAAAGTCTTCAGTCTGAAAAGAAAGGTCAAAGACTAACCAACACACAGTTAAAAATAGATTAATTAAAAACTTTGGTAATAATTCCTCTCAATTCCAGGAACTTTCCCCAATATAACTCAGTAATTAAGCTTTCCTATAACAGAAATGTCTCATTCCACACTTTTGTTGATAGTGCTGTAGGACAATCACGTTTTCTCTAGCTATCCTTGAATGAGATCTGCACTCAGGGAACATTGCAAAAGAGAAAACGACCATGATATTTGTATTCGAGGGAGCTAGGTCCCAGTGAGGTCATGTTTCCAAACATACCAGGCCAAGCTTCATTTATTCCAGTTTCTCATCTTTTGCACTTCATAAAATCAGGCAAGAAGAGCTTTCATCAATTTGTCATACTCTCTATACAGGTCTCCAGACAGAGAATATGGTTTCAGAGTAAATAGTTGATATTTCACCGCAAAACAACAAGAAGGAGAGTAATGAACTTCAAGTGTGTCCAGATGCAACAATAGTGGTTGGACAGAAGTGTGAGGTGCTCTATCCTGTCATCTTTCCTCACAGATTTACTACCAAAGGGGGAAGAAGAGAGGGGAAAAAACACCTTATTTTATAAAAACAACTGCTTTCTAAAGGTTTTCATATCCCTGAGCTCTAATATCTTGTCACAGAATATTAATAATTTGTATCAAATGGAAAAGGAGTTAACTCATATCTCGCTGTCGAGGACCAAAGCTCAGTATGTAACACTGCTCTCTGAGGAGTTAAATTAGCATTCTTCTTTAAATGTAGATAAATTATCAAATGGCCTCCCTGAATACCTTGATATCCTCATATCTAAGACTAACATTCCCAAATGTTTATACAAGAGTAAAGCATATAATATCAGTTCACAATAGTGGAACATGCTAATTATGCTTGGAGATAAGCAAGGTTGCTTGTGCTAGAGTTGGCCAGAGGGTTGGCATGAGAATAGTGATATTCAATCGAAACAAGGGGGCAGAAAGAAAAGAATCATCAGATATCAGTGCAGCATAAACATCAAGAAAAATATTTCTCCAGAGGAGCTTTATTTTAGTCACTTTTTTGTGCTTTTGTTAATTTGCAAATAAATGAAAATATATAAAAACACGTTGGGAAAATTTAAATGAGTAGATGAGGAAAACACCAAAATATTTCAAGAGATTCTTTATTCACAGTCAAGATGGTTGAGGCAGGAACAATGCTCCTGCCAGCTTCCTCTGCTACTGTATGTTTCCAATCCTAGCTTCCGAGGGCAGAAGTAAGGAAGCAAGGCTCACATCAGCTCAGACTCCAACCTCCCCACTTCAGTTGTCAGTTTGCCAGTCAGTTGTGGTTTCTACGATGTACTGAGCTCTCAGGTAGGATTATGACTTAAACCACCTTTCTCCCACAGACCACTGCGTTGGCTTCAAATGCCACTTTCATTCACTACTTAATAGCACTTCTGGCTCAAACCAATGCAAAATCCAGTTTCTAAAGACTAAAAAATAGCTGCATAGTTTATGCTGCTGTTGAAAACTTCTTATAGTTTGCATGATAATTTTTTTCCTGATTATTTTCTTTTCTGCTGTGATAAGTTCCTAAAAAATACCAGGGAGATTTTATTCCTTGATAATATAGCAGAGATACAGAAAACAGGTGTCTACAAATATGAGTTGCTCTAAACATCCATAATCATACTGAAATTCAGTGAGAAATAGCTATGTGACCCCCCAAGTCTCTTCACCTAGAATGAGCCTTATGGGTTATTATTGGGGAAAAAATATTTCTTAAATACAACATGACATTAAAGCTCGTGCACAAAACATCTACAAAAACTCCATTACCTCATTTCCAGTCATGCAAACTCTGATGTTCTGTGCTACACATTATGACATGAAGTGACTGAAATATATAGCTTTTTACTCCACCTCTCGGTAGTTGTCGCTGATTCGATCCAAACTGAGGGAATACAAGAGGTCTCTTCCTCCCACGAACAGTCGCTCTTGATACTCATCCAGCAGCATTACATGGAGACCAAGATATCCAAACGGGCTACGAAAGACTGACGTCCTGTTTAAATCCCAGAGCTCTGCAATACAATCAGAGTGTGCGTGATAAATACCAAACAGCTTAGCTTGCATGGTTTCATTTTTATATCCTCCTAGGGAACTGGACAAGAAGTTGTGGGACATTAAAATGCTAATCGTGTAATCTTTGAGCAAGAAAGAGACACAAGACACCTGGGAACAATTTTCAAAATGAGCCAGTTCTCCAGGAGGTTTGTGTATGAGTCTTTACATCATAATCTTTATGTTTACAATATCATGAGATAGGGAGGGATGAAAATCGGTTTTCTCCTTGACATTTTCTGAAAAGGAAAAAGTACTGCAAATGGGGAAAAAAAGAAGGAATTGACAGAAATTAAAAGAAAATTACTGGAAAATGTCTCCTTGTCTTTCTCTCAGGCATATCAAAGTACAGATTTTCACTGTATGGACATTTTTTTCTTGGATTTGTTTTTTGGGAAGGATGATGTTGCTTATTTTAAGTCCAGCACTGTCTTCACTCAGTTCACTTAAAATATTGCCTCTAAATTCAGTGAGAACAGTATGAAATCTGTGAAATGCAAATTAATAATTTTCCAATACTGATTTTGTCAAGAAATGTGCTGACCTGATATGGGAAGCTGGAGCTTAGCTGTACATGATCCAGGCTAAAGTCAGTTCCACAGAGAAAAGGAAATTCATCCTGGGTAATGTTGCAGAAACTTGGAATCAGGCCTCAGGAAAGAAAGAAAGAGGCAAGCATGGGGATCTTTCTACACTCTGTGGTGCAGAGCACAACCTGGCTTACAGCAGGTCAGAGATACTGAAAATCATTTTGCTGTTTGGAAGCCTCAAAAGGAGTCAGGACAGAGAGTGGCCTAGGTCTGCCTCCAAAACAGCAGAGTTGTTTGACTGAGGGACTGAGGGGAAAGGAACTATGTTCTTATGTCTGTACTGTGGCAATCTGTTTTATTTTGAAGAAATCAATCTTGATAAAAAAAAATTAAATATGCTTATCCTTACAGCTATCCATAAACCTAAGTTTTCCAATTGTTTGGATTTGTTTAGAGACCACAGTTGATGTTCTGCAAGAGGACTGGTTCAACATATCAGAGAAATTCCCCACACAAATCTACCACTATGACATCCACTTGGGATGCCACGTATGCCATCCATATATGCTGTGATTTTTAGAAACTGATGGGCATATTTAACCTGAGAATTCAGCTTCATAATAGGCAAGCATTAAACCACCAAAATTCATAATCATGATTAAGAAATTTTTTTGTGTTCCCCCAGAAAAAGGTGTTTCACATCATTGTGATTTGAATTCTATATTTGAATTTGAATTTGCCTTGTCCACAAAAAGATTAGCTTGATCAATATGCCTCATGATATACCTTACTTGCATCCAAAACTATAGAAATTTAACATTCAATAAGGATATTAATTTTATCCAACAAATTAACACAATTTCTTTTCATTATAAATTAATAAGTATATTATGTGTGTGATGATAAGTGAATTTAGTAATTGAATAAATTACTAAATAATTTATGTTTTATACCTCCATTTATTCAGTAAGTTTATTTCAGGTCAACAGAACCTAAAAGTAACTACTTTCTGAAACCTGTTTCCCTAGAGGATAAAATTTACATCAAAGGAGTCAAACTGAAAATTCAACCTCACAACTGATGTCTTTCCCGAGTGATCTTCAAACAGAATCTATTGAATAGTTGTACCTGTGTGTGACTGGCCTCATTTAACAAGTGGAAAAACCAAGTTACAGAGAGGAATATCATGATGAGCAGAACAAGAGACTTTTTTGTCTAAGCATTGCATACTGACCAGTGGATAGACACACATTTTTTGACAGTGATACACTCAGCACACAGCTGCACAGCAATGTGGAAATGGCACTTTCAAAGCTTGCTCTTGCCAAGCAAATGAGCAGATTGCTGTTCTGGAAGAACATTTCTTGTTTCTGAACAGATTAGAAATGGAATGAAAGCAGAGATAGAAATACTCTTTTGGTCCTAAATAAAGCCACTTTTTATTTGCAAGAATATGAAACATTCAATATATTTAATTTTCAAGTCAGTCTTCCAGTGAAAAGAATTACATTTTAAATTCTAGTTATATACAAACCACAAAAGGATACTGTGGTAGTTTCCCCTGATTTATTTCCATGTTGTCCCGAAGGCAAATTGTTTGTAAATGAGACAGTATTTCTTTACATAGATTAGAGATATGACTCACGTGTTCTCCATGAGAGCACAAGGAACAATGAACAGTCCTCTACTCGATCACATAAGTTGGTAACTACTCATATAAGACTCAGTCCTGCAAAGCACACCTGCAAATCTTATTGTCTTAAATGAAAGTCGAGAATATTAAACACCTTTCAAGATCAAACTTGTAAAAAGAGATATTTCTAGAACCACCTCCAGCAAACTATACAGACATGGTTTTGCCGTGGGGGTAGAGACAAGAACAGAAGTGAACCTGACATCTGGAAGTGTTGGAAAACAACAAGCAGTGGGATCTGTAGAGTGATTTTGTACTGAAACTCAAATGTAGCAATATTCTGTAACTACTACCTTTGAAAGGTAGTAGAATTACCATACATTTTAGGATATCTGAGATATTGGATAAAGCAGGCAAATAGAATGCAGCACTTCCTGAGTAGCTGGAGAATGGGTGGGATATCTGGGAGTCTAAAATGGTACTAGAAGCCTGTCATTTCTACGCAAGTGAATCTCACCATGATGACTGGATGGAAATGATACAGGTTTTGAGGCAGTAGAACATCATTCATGTAGTGCCGTGACCAATCAGCAAAGATGATGGGCTTCCATGTAGCACTGCAGAGATGTAGCTGTACTGCTTCCAGACTTGAGCTGCTGCAGCCACACATGTGCACAGCCTTCATGCTCATACAGTGAATTGTTAGTTCATAGAATCACAGAATGGTTTGGGTTGGAAGGGACCTTAAAGATCATGTGGTTCCAAACACCCCAATATGGGCTGAGACACATTCCACTCAACCAGCTTTGGATCAAAAACGCATCCAACCTGGCCTTCCAGAGATCAACACCCACAGCTTTTCTGGGCAACATGTACCACTGTCTCACAACTCTCACAGTAAAGAATTTCTTTCTAGCATCTAATCTAAACCTACTCTCTCTTAGTTTAGAACCATTACCCCTTATTCTATTGCTCCATGCCTTTTTAAAAAGTTCCTCTCCAGCTCTCCTGTAGTCTCTTTAGATAATGAAAGGTCTTATGAGTTCTCCCAAAGCCTTTACTTCTCAGGCTGGACAACTCCAGCTCTCTCAGCCTGTCTTCATAGGAGTGGTGCTCCAGTACTCTGATCATCTTTGTCGCCTCCTCTGGACTTGCTCCAACAGGTCCACATCCTTCTTATGTGGGGAACCCCAGAGTTGGACACTTTGCAGTGTTGAGTTGTCCTTGGTCATTGAAATCACACCACAACTGGGAGTGAGGCACTTGAAATCAAAGCTTAAAGCAACTGTCTCCAAAATCTACCTTTAGTTACCTTATGTTCACAAGGGTCACCTTGTAAATATATATTCCTTGAGATGTCAAGAATTATTCTTCTAGTCTTGATTACACCCTTAATTTAAAAAAAATAATAAAAAAATCCACATCTAGCTCATGTTCCTCTACCAAACATTAGGATTTAATAGCTATATTTATTCTGGGCACATCTAACACTGTTACAAGGTCAGGTGTGACTGCAATTTTCTTAGAGAATCTGACCAGAGAAAAAACAGTGCTGCCTAACATTTTTAAAATATTCTAGTGGCTAAATCGGTCACCTGAGAAATAGCAGAGACGAGTTCAATTTCCTTTTCTAAATGGATTGAAACTCAGATCTTTCTCCTTCCATAAAGAACCCTAATCACAAGCTATTAGCTACTCGATTGATGGGGAAGGATGGATGCTTTCTCCATTTCCTGTTGAAACTGTGCAACAAAATACTCATGCTTCAGAAAGAGTGAACAAGAAGTAGCACACTCTAATTTAGTATTAAATTGCTTTTCTGGGAAAGAAGTTCTGGTCCTGCTGCTCAAGATAGTCTACGCATTTTATATTAAACAGTGAATAAACTGTATAAATTGTTCCAGCACACGGACTACAAATCCTCAGCTTCTCCCTCACATGGGAGCGACTAAGGATTTCAGCTGAGTAGAACCCTTTCTTTTACTGAGTTTCTATAGATTTCTGTGACCAGAAAAAAAAAAAAAAAAGTCTTTTTTTCTATAAAGATCTTGTGTAAAGAAATAAAAAGCCAGAGAAAAAGAGGCTGAATTATTCAGGGGAAACATATTGCTATTGCTCAACACACAGGACAAAAGAGAAAAGACCTTTCCTACTCTTAGTAAAAACAAATCTTCTGGAGTAGTGATCCATAAATTTCACAAAATGTTATCTTTCTTACTACAGTGTTTTGCCATTTTAATCTAAATACTCAAGACCATAACTAAATCCACACCATTACAGTACAAACTACAAAGTATTTTACTCAACAAAGGAGAGACTGCTTCAATATTTACATACTCCTATATGGCACTTCACTTACCTGTGAAAGCCTTAAAGCAAGTCTGGGCTGCTAAATTACATTTCATAAGAGAAAAAAATTCACTTGCTGTTTTAAATGCTGAGAACAAACCCTCAGGTTTGCTATCTGTCTGCCAGAGCTTTCTGGCAAATATTCAGACTGATCTTGCTTACCACACTTTCTCCTGCAGCACATCTACTTTGGTGAACATATTCATACTGTATCCTCTCTGACAAGATGGATTCCATTATACATTTGTCTAACAATGTTAATTACATTCATAAAAGCTGATTTCTTGAATGTGTTAATGATCAATATGTAATTCTAACTTCTAAGATTATTTTATAATAGCCATTTCTTCTATAAGGAAAAAAAATGAAGTCACCCTTTTGTTATGTTATTTCAATATTTTTTAAATATAAATGACTGATAACTTAAATATACTTAGAACATTAAATG